TAGAAAATTGGTGACTCCACTTTTATTTATTTTAATTTCGTGAATGAGTGGGATACTATGGGAACAGTTTTATCAATTTAATGCATCCTTGCTGAATAATATAAATAATTTCTTTGACTTCCCGACCCCAAAATTTGAAAGTAGTGTATTTAACTATTTTGTAATTTAATTAATACTTTTATTATATTAGTAAATATTTTAATTTAATAAATAATTTATTCAAATTATTGTTATATTTGTATATAATATTTAATATATTTATTATATAATATTGAGTGATATAATCTGGGAACAGTACCTTGCACTACAGTTTCCAAGGAGGTCTATAATAATTGGAGAAGGCTTTCAGTTAGCATTCCTTTTCATAGCAATGCTATTGTGTAGCGCAGGACCCCATATGCGAAATCGTAATTTGAAATCTGCCATCTTTGCTCGTTTGAACCAATCATCTGAGCTGTAAATGCCATATGATTAACCCTGTGTTCAAATATGTGTACTTTTCTGCTACAAAGTATGCAAAACGCCAAGTCAAATGATTAAGATGCATGAATACTCAGTATTCTATACATGCATAATAATTAATTAAAGCATATCAGATGCACAAAAATTGCTGAATTTAAGCAAGTACTTTTTTACCAAAAAATTACCAAATATTTGCCAATTTAATCTAATTTGAACAAATTCGAAATGAGTAACTTTCTGCATAACAACTCACTTTTACAAGCATGTGGAAAGTATATAGACTGTTATAAATGTTCTCAAACACTCACGCGAGGAAGACAGAGGTAGCCATGAGTGTGGCCATGTAGAAACCTCTTAGGCAGTCGCCGTTCTTCTTCTGTCTCTGATGCATCTCACCCCCACAGTTCTCACAGCAGCGGCACACACAGATAAACAGGCCCACGACCGGCATGAACAGCACAAATATCACCCCCAGAACCGACAGCACTATGAAGCCCAGCTCATAGTAGATAGCCTGGAGAAGAGGAGAGAGCATTTCATCATGATTAAACGTATATATTATTATTTGTTGAGAAAAGCCACAAATGAAGATGACAAAGCTTGAATTGCTCTAAATATTTTATCATGAAATTTATATATGGGTCAGATAAAAATTATTCGTTAATTTTATCACATTATATGTGACCCTGAACCACAAAACCAGTCTTAAGTGTCAATTTTTCTACTGCAAGAAAAATAAGAATTTTGAGATATAAACTGAGAATAGAGAAAAAAAATTCAGAATTGTGAAATAAAAATTTGCAATTACATTTTTTATATTTTTATCCCATGACAGAAATAAGCTTCCTCAGATAACTATTACTTCAAATGTTGCATTAAAAATAAATAAATAAATAAATAAAACAATAAACATTCAGATTTTAAAATGTTAAAGAGTGGCAGTGCATGTAATGGGCATGAAGAGTAAATTCACTTTTAAACAGTACCTGTAGTAATAATACAACATTCTCTGGCTGCGTTGTCGTAGAGTTGAAGAGACATCATTAGTGTGCATGCCGAAGAGAAAGAGAAAGAAAGTGAGTTTGGAACATGCGATTCCATATAAGCTATTAAATGCAATATACATTTATTTATTTTATTATATAATATACAGTGTGGCACAAAACAAACACACACCTTCTTGTAATCGTCCCCTTTGATTCCTCCCATGTTCTGCTGGACCATTTTAACAATGAGATCTGTAACAGAAAATTGACCAGATTAGCTCACAAGTTCAAGAAAACAAAATATTTTAGTTACTATAAACTAGAAATTCGAGAACCCTTCAAACATTAATTCATTTTCATGGGGCTGGATTGACAAGAAAGTGCCTTGGCTCTGTCTAAATTACTTTGTGAGAAAGAAAGATTTATTGAAATGAACCTTCTTTGTGATTGTTATGATTATACCATGATAAACACTTCATCAAATCAAATCAAATAAATCCTCTGTCTGTCTTTCCTCACTTACTGTAACTCTGATAAAACAATAAATTTTCTGTTGTTTAGTTGATCTGTTGATATTAGTTTAGTGGCCATTATTGTTTGGATAAAGAAGCTACAGCAGTATACATGTGATCTTAGATTCAAACAGCAGTTACAGATGGTCATACATCGTTATGAAAAAACAACAGATCAGATCTGCGTCTGTTAGTTGCTATGTTAACAGTACGGTGACATCAGAGTCTTGTTTTCAGTGCTAATGCTATTGCTACAGTATGTTAGCATCTGTTACAAACCGTCTGCTCAGCCTACATTTCTGTGTAACATACACGTGTGAATGATGTTTATGCTCATGTTTTAGGTTATACACAAATGATAGCTATTATAAGACTTTCTATAAACCAACAAATATGCATTAAGTAACCAATAAATATCAATGATGCCTACTCCAATAAATAAATTCACTGATTGAGATTGTTATTGAAACAAGCCCTTCACTTAACAAGATGCTAGAGACTGTCAAAATAATTTATATGTTTTTCCCCTTTCCATCTGAACTGAAAACTGGTTTAAAAGCTACATGGTACTTACCCTAATACCCTAAGGCACAGTCTCACCCATCACGTTTGACCTCATCTGAGCTAAACATAGCCTTTATATACCTCACCTCTGAGTGTGTTACTGATGGCAACAGTGGAAAACTCACACATAATTAAATGTTACTCTCTGAAACTAATCTCCCTGTTGAAAAAACCAGCATATGCTTGTTAGGTATGTTTTGAAGCTGGGATGCTGGTTTGAGCTGGTTTATGCTGGTCCTTTGCTGGTTTATGCTGGTTTTTAGCTGGTCATGTGCTGGTCCTAAACTGGTCCGACCAGCTTAAGACCAGCATAAACTCCTAAACTGGTCCGACCAGCGTAAGACCAGCACATGACCAGCATAAACCAGCAAAGGACCAGCTTAAACCAGCAAAGGACCAGCTCAAACCAGCATCACAGCTTCAAAACATACCTAACCAGCATATGCTGTTTTTTTCAGCTATCAAGAAAATTGTATGCATTTTTATATTTTTACTAAAAATGCAATTCAATTCAATTGCCCCAACAAGGATAATGGTTTGATGGTTAGGTAGAGAGAGTTTGTCAAACATTAGTGAGTATGCATGTTTCCAATACTCTTTTTTTTGCATGTGTATGCACGAACATACACAAAGAGAACCTATGTTCATGAATGTTATGATATTATGAGTGAATATAAATGTTACAGTCCTTTATGAAACGTCTCCTCCCCTAGTGGCAAATCTGTGTACTGCACCAACATAAACAAACACTTAACCCTAAAACACCTTTACATAAAAGGATAAGCTTCTTTACAGTTGTAATAAGTTTAGCAGGGTTTTTTTCTGGCATGACACCTTACAGGGAGATCAACAGAACATGATCCAGAATATAAAACCATGGCCAAGACTGCGCTGTACAACACTAACTATAGCAGCACTGCTTTATACAGATCACAGATGCCTGCCCAGTCAAAACAATATAACATTATCACAAAAGCGAACTCTTTCAAATAATGCCTCAGCAGTCTCTGTAAAAGGTACTATATGTTCTACCATTCAAATATTTGGGGTTGGTATGATTTTTTTAAAGAAAATTAATACTTTTATTCAGCGAAGATACATTAAATTGATCAAAAGTGGAAGTAAAGACATTTATAATGTTACAGATTTCTATGTCAAATAAATACTGTTGAACTATTTATCAAAAAAAAAAATATATATATATATATATATATAAATGTATCATGGTTTCCACACAAAAATATGAAGCAGCACAACTGTTTTCAACACTGATAATAATCAGAAATGTTTCTTGAGCAGCAAATCAGCATATTAGAGTGATTTCTGAAGGATTATGTGACACTGAAGACTGGAGTAATGATGCTGAAAATTCAGCTTTGATCACAGGAATAAATTACATTTTTCGAAATATATTAAAATAGAAAACATTATTTTAAACTGTAATGATATTTTACAATTTCATTGTTTTACTGTATATTTAATCAAATAAATGCAGCCTTGGTGAACATGAAACATTAAAAAATCATACTTTTGGACAGTAGTATATATAGATCAAATATAATTTTCTGTTGTCAGAATTTCTGTCCATACAAGCAGAATATACAGTTATATTTTAGGGGGATCCATGGGATGGTTGAGAGTGCTTATATTATTACTTGCAGTGTTGGGCAAAGTTACTTTTAAAAGTAATGCATTACAATATTGCATTACTCCCTAAAAAAAGTAATTAATTACGTTACTTAGTTACTTTTTATGGAAAGTAATGCGTTACGTTACTTTTGAGTTACTTTTTAATTCTGGGCAGGGCTTGCTTGTTTGTTTTTAATATAAAAAAGTTCTTCTTTTACAAACATAAAAGCCCTTTCTTTAGAAAAGTGAAATGAATACGCCTCAGGCTGAAGGAAATGTAAATTCACGTCTGTACAGTAGAGGGATTATTGCAGGTTTGTATAATATTCTGAGTTTGTATTTGACTGTTTTTATTCATTTTGAGGAATACTGAATCTGTTTTTGTGGAGGTGAGATGAGTAAACACATGTTCATATTTAGTCTAGATTACATGATCTACAGTAAGATCATGTTCACACACAACGCTCTGCACTTACTCCTGATTTCTCTCAACATGGCAACACCAGAGCTGTCAGTCAATACATGGAAACAAAGTAACTGGAGTTACTTATTTGAAAAAGTAACTCAGATATTTCCTTCTAAATGAAAAAGTAATGCGTTACTTTACTAGTTACTTTTAAAAAGTAATCTGATTACGTAACTCGCGTTACTTGTAATGCATTACCCCCAACACTGATTACTTGACTATAGAATTATGCAGGCAGATATTTGTGTGTGAGATATCTCAAATTGTGCATTTGTGTGTAAGCGAACAAGAGAAGTCCTGTGTGAAGAGGAAAGGGTATCACTGGTTATAATGGCATATGGTCAATCCTCTTACACTGGTCTTGCTGTTGGCCATTTCAGCGGTCGCTCTCCCTCTCTAATGCTTTCTTTCCCCTTTTTCTCCCTTCTTCTACCAAACCCCATTCATCTCCTATTTAATCCTCAATCCCCTTTTCACACACTCTCGCTTCCGTCCCTCCTTTTCTTACAGATCCAACAAGCCACTCAAATACATGGGAACAGATGAAGCAGATGAAGCACATAGGCGATAAATTTATGAATAAAATGGTGACTCTCTTCCACAACAGTACAGTACAAATAAAGACACATTGACTAAATGGATAAAATAGCATAAGTGGGTCATATCTGAGTGATGATCTTCCTGTGCTTCGATTACAGTGCAGTTTCTTTTTTTAAATCCAGTGATCAGTGATATTAAGCTTCATCTGGGCTGAGACGAAGGGAGTCCCCGGATTAAAGCGCAGACTGAATGACAGAATGAATGTCGTGATATTAAGCTGTATTATAAATCCATCTATTCCTTCACAGACAACACACTCCAACTGTGTTCAAACCTGTGACTAATCTGGAAAAAGAGTTGCAGACAAATATAGAGGCCTTTAACTTGAATAATGTGCATGTTACTGCTGTTTAATCCAGTAATCCAGGCTCATCTCTACATCAGGAGTACCTTTCTATAAAATCAAGAGTTACAAATCTGCAAAGAATGATTTAGCGGTACTAAAGAGATTGCAGAGGGAATAATATCTGTTTGTGGCTTGTGTTTGATGTGTTTCTGTCTCTTAATCAACAAACACATGGTTAAAAATGGGATCCTAATTCTTAAAATGTGCTGTTTTTCATTCAAATCTGTGATTTAAAGTCAGAAATTTTGCAAAATGGTTGTTTTTGGGTTGTAAGTTTTGTCAGGAGCATTGCGTGTACCTTTGGAGCATATTGCACTCAGATTATCAGCTTACCTGATTGGGCAGGTGACTCATACAGCAGATCGGCTAATTGGTTAGGCAGCAGAGACTTAACCATGCAATCCTGTTGTACTCTAAACACACACACACACACACACACAAGCGCTCCTCTATGCTCAACATGCTGACCTCACACAGAAATCCACCTGCCAACAGCCTGACCTTAAATAGACTGGGACTAGTTGTCACACTTTTTACTCAAGGTTTATTTTTGAAATTTCATTTCTGTGTAGGCATATACCATATATGTGACCCTGGACCACAAAACCACAATTTTTGTTTTTTCAAACAATTTTTTGAAATTGAGATTTATACACCATCTCAATAAATAAGCTTTACATTGATGTATGGTTTGTTAGGATAGGACAATATTTGGCCGAGATACAACTATTTGAAAATCTGGAATCTGAGGGTGCAAAAAAATCAAAATATTTAAAGTTGTCCAAATGAAATTCTTAGCAATGCATATTACTAATCAAAAATTAAGATTTGATATATTTACGGTAGGAAATTAACAAAATATATTCATGGAACATCATCTTAATATTCTAATGATTTTTGGCATTAAAGAAAAATCTATAATTTTGACCCATACAATGTATTTTTGACTATTGCTACAAATATACCCCATGCAGCGACTTAAGACTGCTTTTGTGCTCCAGGGTCACATATATGCATGGTATATGTAGGCATATACCAATATAAATATTTCCACCATTACTGCCAATAATGTTGCATGTTGTCATACTATCAATGAAAAAAAATTGCGGTGAAACCATATATATATTTCTATATTTTCATATAGAAATTGGTAGTAAATGTCACAAATAATGACAAAGAAACAGCAAGTAATATTGAATTAAATGGGAAAATTTGAAGACTGGAAAACTATTTTCTTGTAAAAACGTATTCCAGTAATGTTAGTTTCATTTACAGCTTTGACAAATAAAAAAATAATAATAATAAAAAAGTTAAAGTGTAGGGTAAGTTGTCACAGTGGAACTTGCCATTAAACAGCCTATCACTGACTTTTCAAAAAATAAATGAATTGTAAAGCAAAAAACAATTCATTTAAATTAATATTGGTGATATTTACAATAAAATGTGACAAACTGCCCCAATAAAAAATGTGGCTTGTGATAAATTGGGTGAATTATCCAGTCTCACTTATACATTGCAATGTAACAGTTCTACATAATTCCAGTCTCTATGCACTCCTCATTACCTCATTGAATAAACCAAACACCTTCTTCTTTTTGAATTACACCTGGAAATCTGTAGATTAATGAACTCTATTAGTAGTCAGACTGTACTGTTACTACAAACAGTACAGTAACAAAACCAGTGCAGTCTTATCCGGTGAATAGTAATCATTTCCATTCCAATATATCCATACTTTCTGCAGGTTCAGACAGCAAATGGATGACAGTAAATCATGAGCCAGCCAGGCATAATAATATACATCATATCACATATTTTCAATTCATTTCTTTATGGCAAGCCAATTTAGCATTTATTCCTTAAATCTTACTAGTATTCATTTTTATGTTAGTAGTGCAGATTGTTTAAATATATGTGTCTATGTAAATCATACCTTTGCGTCTAACTGTTATTGGATATCCATTATTATTATTATTGCCCTGTTACAAAATTACAAAAATAGCAAAATCAAAACATATGTCATCATATTTTCTCACTGCACATCTCTCTGCTCTTCCTTAACTCTGACTGGCTTGACTGAATTTGCCACTAACCGTTGCGTGTCTGGTTAAAAATAGTTATAGTTGAATAGGTAAAGACTCTGTCTAAAGACCCTGTGTTCTGGTCCATTCCGGAAGAAACTGCTACATTGTGCATGTTTGATTACACTGTAACCAATCACAAAATAAGACCTTTTTTTCGGATTAATGTAAACAGAATGGCATTACACAGCTTATACTTCTTTTACTTTTTTGACATGTTTGTGTAAAATTGATAGCAAATTTTAATTAAATAGTAATGTCATGCATGATAATCATTTTCATTATTGATCATTGGTGTAAAAATTTATTAGACACTAGTACTTATTCTAGTAGGGAACACCTGTTCAATTAATTTGTTCATTTACAGGTTGTTAAAGGTAGCAAATGAGATACTAGTGTTTCATGTCTACTTTTCTACAAATCCACTAATATCAAATAAACAGTACAAGTAATGTTAATAGTAGCCATTTGTTACCAGGAACAATGGAATTGTTATCACTACTTGATTAATGGTTAGTAGCAAAGAAATAATTTTATACATATTATTATTAGCAACTGAATACATATAAGTCGCTACTGCAATAAGCAGGGCTACTCGTATATAATGAATAGCAAGTGAAATTTAAAAACATGCTAGCAACTATTAGATTACTAAATAAAATAAATTGGCCACTATCAATAACACTGTATGACATGTGTTGCACATTTACATGCAACTAACCCTAAAACAAAGATTACTGGTGTATGTTTTACAAAAACACTATTTAATTCTTTTTATTTCAAAATCCCACATTTAATTCAATGTGTTACTTGTTGTGTTTCTTCATATATAATTGTGAAATGTACTAGCTACTTCTGACTGAAAATTGATTCTACACCACTTACTTTCAGTGTTTAGTAAATACGTTGTTAATAAATATTACTCAGTACTTTATTTGTGTAATTACACTGTAACAAAGACACCTTGAAATGTTACCAAGGTGTTACTTTAAGTGTTACCAAAGATAGGTAGGTTTAAGGAATAAACGTTAAAACGGCTTGCCATAAGAACTCCTTCATCTCATACTAACTGAAGCATGCACCTGCAGTATTCATCAATCTGAAGTCTACATCACACTTCTGTAAGTACATGTGGACGTTTGCCATGTGAAACTGACCCACAAATACGCGCGCAAGAATGTGGAAAACTTTTGCGCGTTTTCAAAGCCAGTGTGCATCTCACCTTTGGGGAAAGGGTTTGGTTGAACCACGTACAGAAACGCGTGGACCATGTGGAAAACAATACCGATGGGACCCGGTTCATAATACGCGTGCGTTTCGTACACCATCGACGGCACGAAGCCAAAGTCCAGCGTTTCCACGGGCGCTCTGAGCATCGTGTTGCGCGGAGGCGAATCCCGGTGCTCCTCTCGGGCTTCGCTGCTCGTGAGACCCGAGCACATCACCAGCACGAGCCCCACTTTCCACCACATGCCTATCAGTCCTTTACGCGGGGAGATTTTGATAAATAACGGGAGGGAACGAAAAGTGGAGGAGAGATAAAGTGAGATAAAAGTATGTTTGTTTGGAATGCTCTCTAGTCCTCGACATCAAAAATACATATTAGAAAATAATTACCCGAGACACATAAAAAAAAAAAAAATAATAATGCAAAAATATATATTCCAGCTGGTGCGTTTATTCCCCGCTTCCTTTTGATATCTTCATGGTAAACATCCCTCCGGTCTGGACAGCTCAGGATGAGCTGAGTGTTTGTCTGACCTCTGTGCGCTCCTCTTCTGTCTGCTCTGCAGTGCACTAGCACTGGAGATGGCTTTAGAGGGAAATCACGTCTAGTGAGTCAAGCCAAGTCACTCAAAGCAGTTTGTCATTCCTTTCCTGTGTGGAAGAAGCTGAAATAACCTACAGCACTTAACACAATGCACACAATTCCAAATCGACAATACTGTGAATAACTGCAGATATGAGCCAAGTGATAAATAGCTTCTATAGCTTCATACACTGTTTTGCCCCAGGAGTTGATTTTTGTTAAAACGTATATTTCATCTTGGATTAACAGATTTCAGTTTTACTGTTTTTGCTAGTTATTATGTCTCAAAACTTTTTTTTTTCCCCAATGTTTTATCATGCCTTTTTCTGGATTGATTGATTGATTGACTTAGAACCAATTCAAATTAACTACAGCATCATTACAATTAAATGATCACACATTGTTTAATCATAATTCATAATTTCATAAGTTTAATGTTAACACTCTAAAAAATGCTGGGTTAAATACAACCCAGTGCTGGGTAAAATAGGACAAACCCAGCAATTGGGTTGTTTTGAACCAGCAATTTGGGTTACTACCCAGAAGGTTGGGTTAAACATTTAATCAAACCGCTGGGTCAAAATAGCCCAATTGCTGGGTTTGTCCCTATTTTACCCAGCACTGGGTTGTATTTAACCCAGCATTTTTTAGAGTGTAGTATAGGCACTAATGATCACTATTAACTCTGCACATTTTCTGCATAACCATATTATACATCCCTAATCCTACCCAATACCTAAACTTAACAACTAACTATTAACAAAACAGCAAATTAGGAGTTTATTGAGGCAAAAGTCATACAGTATATGGTTTGTTAATAGCGAGAATTGGACCTTAAAATAAAGTGTAACCAGTTGAATTGGATGTTAAACATACCATATGCTGTAAATCCTATCCTATATACTACAATATAGGCATAGATCCATTTATGAAATATTTTATCTTTTTATATTTATGTACTCCACAGAATATTTAAAATTCTTAGACATACTGGTTATCAGACTCAACAGTCAAAGAATGATGATACAGTAACTTAGTGGTCACAACTTTATTAACTAACAGTCATTGTTTACAGAAATACACAGCAATGTTCTCTTTTCACACAGTCAACAAGTCAAATGAGCAGAAAAGCAGCAAATCCGGACTCTGCCAAGACACTAGCTGATGGTCTTCTTCACTGAAATGTCCCACAGCTACATTTGGAACAGCTGAAAAGCCTCTGTGCAGCCGTGTGTGCATGGACATGAATACCAATAAACAGAGACAGAGAGTGAGAGAAAGACAGACGTAGAAAGAGGCCACAATCTGTATCATGTCAGACATCACAACCAAACTCAATGCACACACACACATCACAGAAGGACAGAAAAAGAGAAAACAAAGATAAAGGGTATGATAGAGCATTTTAAAGTTACATGATCAGTAAATTAGTACAAAATAAGGATTAAATTCTTCTGGTCTTCATCCATAAACACAACTGTTACTGTCTTTTAAACTATAACAGATCTTATATAAAATGTAAAAAAGAAAGAAAAAAATCAGATTGTTTTATTTTTTTAATATTATGTATCATACCCTCACTATATACGGTGCGGTTGAAGAGTCAAAATCTAATTTAAACCTGTTTATAAACAATATCTTAGAATTTTTAAATATTTGAAGAAACGATTAAAATAGTATAAAAATTATATATATATACATACTGTGTGTGTATATATATATATTTCTCATTATTTTATATATATAATAATTTATATAATTATTTTATCTATTCAAATTCTATATTTCAAATATATTTTATGCACTTTCAAATATAAGCTCATGCACTGTTTTTAGATCACAGAGCAAAATGAATAAGCAAATTTGTGAGAATGAGTATGTTTTGTTCATTTAAGCGGGAGAGCTAGTTATTAAAGCAAATGGGGAGCAAACTACAAGAAATATAATGAAAACGTGAGAGTGACTTTTGAACTCCACTGTACATCAGCTCAGCAGAATTTGAGATATCTAATCCGGTTTTAAATAGACTTTGTCTCATAGCGGTATTCATTCATTCTGTTATCTAATTTTACACACATTCCAAGTCAAAATCTCAATCGGTTTAGTGTTTAGATCTCTATGGTTTTAGCACAGATCAGTTTAGCGTTACATAATCTTTAGGTGACTATTTTTGGCTTGGGGTCGGAGTGGTTGGATTTAATTAATTCGGTCTGGACTTGTTTTTAGCTGTGCATGTGATGTTTAGGGGTGTCCTGACTCACTTGGTGCCATTTAAACTAATATAGTAATAATAAGAAGATTATAATTCTTCATGAAAATGCATATTAAGGCTCCACCCTAAACAAATGACAACCACAACAACAAGGTACAAAACAACAAAACTTTAATTAACACAATGCCCTGATTCCTCTCCCCAATTCTGTCTCTGAAACATCCCACACCATATGATTTGACATCGTCATTCCTCTTCAGTTTCTACAGGCTGAAGCCGATATGGGTACAAAAACACACCGAAAACAACAAACTGATATTGACCAGTGAGAGAAAACAGCAGTGAAGTCCAGCAGTGTGGAAAGAACGGGATGACTGGATCTTGATGTTTTTCCAAATAAATGGATACGAGTATGAATTAGAAAGGTTCAATCAAGCAGTACTGATCCATATCCAGCACAGCCAAACTTCAGCCTTATTTCAAGAGCCAAAAGGTGACTGAACCTCCGGGAAAGCACAGGCAGTTACACTGAGAAGCACAACAGAACCAAACATTTGCTTAAAATGCTCTCTTTCTTTCAAAAAGAAGCAGAAGTATTTCTAACATCAGTGTTTCGAATGTAAAAACAATGAGAAATGCTCGCTGATATCATTTTGGCAGTTTAAGTCAAGTGAATGCTTCTGAAAAGGTTTCGAAAAATGTGAGTTTGCATTAGTTTGATAACTGAGGGTAAACAATTCCTTGGCATAGTTGATATTTTCACGTAATAATCTTCCTAAATGATAATTAAAATCAAACAACCTTTTGTTTTTGAAAAAACTGAGCACCTTACACAATACAACCATGCCACCATGGTCACCATGATGATAGCCACACATTTGTAATACAAGAAATACAAATTCCAAAAGCAGTCAAAAATAAACAATAAACAGAAAAAACAAAACAAGTTGTCATTACTGAGAGAGAGAAAACAAAAACTTAAATTCTGACATCCAGCACTACAAAGAGACATTAGTGGTTTACAAAAAGTTTTTTTTTTTTTAAGACAGTGTGGTCTGTTATGCAAATCAAATGTACAAAAAATTATTGTCTATGATGATAACGCACTATACATGATGCATGGGCATATATTACTGATCGTGGACATTCACAGATGTGACTGTTAACTGATAAGTTGGTTATTCTGAAACGTTGACTCATATCTTACATTACTGGACTCTGATGCTCATTGACCTATAAAAACTGTTTATTTGGGGTCAACAGGCCTTTTTTTTTATTTTTTAAATATACACCCAAGATATTAGCAAAAGGCTGTAAATTCAGCTTTGCTTTGGTCAAGATTCTGACGTTTGGAATGTTGGTAATTGACTATTTAGCATCAGCATCAATGTATGATCGTTCATCTGATACGCTACTCTCTGTGCAATAAACGCTTGAGGGGGAAAAAACAGACTTTCCATCCTTAAATGGAAAATATTTCATTCCTTCATTTTAACAAAACACATTACGCTACTGAAGTTGATTCAGTTTTCTGATTCCATGCGACTATCTTGCAATAATCAACTATCCTTTCATTCAGATGCAGTGCTTAATTCAATCCAAATATCACAGGCATGCGTTTCATCGCAGTATCACTTACTCACAATGGCCTTTTAAAAAGGTCATTACCTCAAACGATGCAAAACATTTTTTTTTAAAATTTTGTCATTGGTAACCCTGTCTTTAAACTGAAATTTAGTCATTTAGTCATAAATGAGCAACTGTCTTAAAAATATAAATAATTAAACATGTGATACGGTATTTTAGCCTGCTGTCTCAAAGATACAAAAAAATAATCTGCGTAACACATCTGACTGACAATGAACATGGTGATATTTCAAACTAAAAGTCTTTGAGGGAATTTGAGAATTGTAGATGAAGGGACACTTTCAAATAGAATTTTTAACATTTGTTTTGGAGCACTGCATATTACATTTTTGGAGTATTTGCATCCTATTTTGTTCCAGAAATGTATGGAATCTTCAGAATCTGTAGTTTAGGAATATAATCCATCCCTTTTCTCATTTTCTTCATTTGATGCCTCCTTTGAAAGGTAAGCACAGTGACCATCGGACCAAGATCTCCCCCGCCGTCCAAAGATGACCTCCGCTGGTGATCTCGAGCCTCTTGAAAACTTCACTGGGTGGATTCCAGACGGGTAAAACTGTGTGTGACTGTCTGTGTTTAAGTCTTAAATAAATTAGGTGCATCACTTATTAATAAATATCCTGCAGTTTCTCGCTGTCCCAATCCAACGAGCTCAAATGTCAAACAAAATCAAGCTAGCAGAGAGGGCGGGCATTTCAGTGCATACCCGGCGTCACTCTTACACATGAGGGTGCATATCAATGTCAGTCGATACGGTTACCGCAGATAGTAAAGCGGTCAATCTCCAGCAAGTCTTTTTTGGGCGCCCTGTGTTTAAGTTCGGTATCGTCCTGAATAAGGCTTTTCTCTTCTGATTCATCTGGTGTAGTGAGGAACTGATCTGATTGGCTGGTGTGGAGCTGAGGGGCGGGGCATTCGTCACTTTGGCTGGGCTGAGTGGTGACTGATGCAGACAAGCCCTCCTCCGCTGGCTCACCTTCAGATGGGTGTGGACGCAATTGGTTAGTGAGAATAAAACCTTTATAAGTATGGAAGACAAATAATGACAGATGAAATTATAGCCCTGAAAATACAAGGCATTAAAATGCAAGCACTGTTAATGCAATGCATTATTTTTTC